ATCCGGAGCAAGCTTTGGTTGCGTCGCCATAGAAACAGCATCTCTGAGCTCAGTCTGAGAAAAGCTGGAAGGACGTCTGTGGATCAAAGTAAAGACGCGCCAGCAGCTCCGCTTCAGACATACCTGCAGCGACGCATGCAGCTGTGGAGCCGCTCCACAGCTGGAACGTTCAGACATCCTGTCCGCATCCAGCTGCTTCTGCTCTGATCGAGCGTCGCCTTCAGGATAAACTGTTTCCAAAAACACCCTGATCTTCTGCTGGATCTTCTCTTAAACTTGGTCTTCAGCATTAAATTGTTTTCTAACAAGATTAGAAATATATTTGTCCTGCAGATTAGCATAGCTAAGTGTCCTATGTTGGTGGGGGTGGGGGCCATCTGCAGCAGGCTTTGATCAGGCTGCGCCCGGCAGGCTTGGCCCGGCCATCCCAGGCCTGAGTGTGAAATCGCTCTGATGTCATCCCCCTCTCTCCACCGTCACCGGCTCTTAGTGGCTGTAATTATATTTCCGCCACAGAGCCCCCGTCCCCTTCATTCCATATTCCCAGTTTGACTGGGAAGCGTTTAGAGAAAAAGTCTCCCAGTGGGGGGAGGGGGACTTGATGGGCCGCCTATTGTTGGCGAGAGACACCAGAGGCATCAGGACTTTGGGATATGTACTTTTCCTTTCTCTGCTCGTCTGCCCTTTTCCTCCGCCTGTTGAAGAGGTGAAGTTTATGACAACAAGACGTCTGAACTCTGCATAAACGCTCTGGTTTTACTGGTTTTACTGGTTTTACTGGTGTCCATCAACCAGGGAGGGACGTCGGGATGAGAGGAGAGTCTGGATTGGGCCAAACTCAACAAACAATCCTGACTAGTTTAAAGTTCTGCTGGTCAGAATCAGGAAGGTTCTGATCAGGGGCGCTTCTAGGACCAAAGGTTCAGGGGCCCTCAGCTCCCAGCTGCACTGGAAAAAACATCTAGAAATAAGGAAAAATGTCTTAAATTAAGTTTATTTACCCTCAATTTCAGTAGGTAAATTAGTCTGCCAATGGAATGAAGATTTTTACTCTTAAAATAAGATAATTAGATAATAAGCACTTGAAATAAGACAATGCAAATGTCGTTTTACTAATGATTCAGTAAATCTGTTAATAATGAGTTGTGGTTTTAAATATAATAAAAACAAATCAGACACATTAGAGCATCTCGATGGTGAACATTTCACCAACACACCATCAATAGGTGCAGAAATCTGACTGAACATTTCAGGAACACCTGAATGCAACGTTTTCCTCAAAGGCTGGTTTAGCTTCAGGCTGGTTTAACATCAGGCTGGTTTAACTTCAGGCTGGTTTAACATCAGGCTGGTTTAGCTTCAGGCTGGTTTAACTTCAGGCTGGTTTAACTTCAGGCTGGTTTAACTTCAGGCTGGTTTAACTTC